AGGAGAACGTGGCGCGGGTCAGCACCTTTAGTGCAGGAAAGGAGGAATAGAAGAACCAGGTGTCATAAAAGGGAGCCGTGGAAGACCAAGTGTCATGACAATCTTTTGAAATGTCAGCTGCAGTATAAAACACCTGGCAAGAAAGGAAGATGAAATCTGCCCCAGCCAGGTTGAGGACGTAGACAGAGAAGGGGTTCCTCTTAATGCGGAAGCCCAGAAGCCAGAGGATGATCCCATCGCCCACCAACTCAACCAGGCTGACAAGCACAGTGAGGTAGGGAATGATAATGGGTAGCGTCTTCACATCGGTTCTGCTCCCTTGATATGGTGTCGTCCCATTTCTCTCTGTCTCATTAACATCATCTAGTTTCCAGGAACGTGGTGTGGAAGTCTGGTCCATGGTCACTGGACGTGGCCTCAGCAAGGCTCTTCTGGCCCCAGGGACACACCTGTGAATAGAACAGAATAACCAGAAAGACACAAGGAACTTAGTATCACCCAGACCACAGCAGGCGCGAGGAGGAGAATGTGGAGACATGCATTATGGGCAGGGGAGCCCGTGGCCCCTATACACTTCCCCAGACCCTGTCTACACTTCATAGTGATGTGGTGGGCGTTATGAAGACAGAGAGGGACATTCACCAACAATCCCCCCCTCCTGGGGGAAGAAGTGTCTTTTTTTTTTTTCCCTTTATCTTTCTTCATTGCCCATTTCCCATTCTTGCAACTGTTGGGTCAGGCCAACTCAATGCAATTTGACAAGGATGTGTAAAGTGCCTGGACACCATGCTCGGACCGAGAACAAAAAGATGAAAACAAAAAGAGTCTTGGGGTACATAGCATGAGCAGATAATTGAGGAGAAGCAAGAAGTATAAGATAATTTGAGAAAGGGAGATTTGGCTAACAAGGCGATGGGTCAGTAAAGGTATCTCATAAGAAACTGTGCTTCGGATAGAGCTAAATATTCTCAGACACAGCCGTGAGGAAGAAGTGAATTACAGATTTGGTACAGCAAAGACTCAGAGGTAAGAGACAGGCTGCCTAATTCAGCCCTGGAATTCACACTGAGGAAGTACCTGACCTCTGAGGTCTCACCTTCTGACTGGAAGCCAAAATCCCCACCGAAGGAGGGCACTGCTACCTCTCCGGCTGCACTTGAGACTTTCTCTTCCATGCTTTCATTTGTGACCCTACCCCCTTGTCAGCTGTTTCTATATGTTTTCTTCTCCCATTAGAATTTAAGCTACCTGAGAGAAAGAAGGATCTTTCTTTCTTCTTGTATTTGTATCCCCACCACTTAACCCAGTATCTGACACATTCATGTTGTTCAGTTGGGTTTGACTCTTTGAGACCCTGTGGACACCAACACTGTCCATGAAGGTTTTCTTGGCAAAAATACTGGAGTGGTTTGCCATTTCCTTCTTCATTCGATTAGGACGAATTAAGTCCAATGACTTACCTAGGGTCCCAGCTAGGTAAGTGTATGAGGCTGGATTTGAACCTGACGAATTTGTTTTCGTTTGGGCATTTCAGTCGTGTCTGACTCTCTGTGACCCCATTTGGGGTTTTCTTGGCAAAGATACTGGAGTGGTTTGCCATTTCCTTTTCCAGATCATTTTACAATGATGAGAAACTGAGGCAAACAGGGTTATGTGACTTGCCCAGGTCACACAGCTAGGAAGTGTCTGAGGCCAGATTTGAACTCAGGTTTTCCTGACTCCAGGCCCATAACTACTGTGCCACCTATGAGCTTAATAAAGGCTAGCTGATCATCTGACTTCTGATCACATCTTAGAGTCAGTCACTAGAAATCGGCTTGCCAACCTCCCTATGAGGAAGAGGAGGAAATTTTGTAACTTTAATGTGCAAAGGAGTGGGTTGGGCACCTCAGCAAAGGGATGAGAGACTCAGCCCCTACCTGACAAAAGCTCATGCTAAGATTGCCTGATAGAGACACTATCTGTGGGAGAGGCAGAGCCAGAAATAAAAGCCCCGTGACAAGGCATGGCCAGGCTAGAGTTACGTGCGTCATCCTGAGTCAGAGGAGCGTCACTGGTGGACGAGGCCAGAGATAAGAGAGCTCCTCATCACAGGGATATGGCTCAGACCTGAGATGGGAGTCTTCTCAGGGAAGGAGCCCAGCTCTTCTCCAAGTGCTGGCCCAACACAATCAACGGAACCAACACAAGATGACTTGAGGCAAAGTATCAAAGAGCCCACTTTTGAATGTGCACTGTCTTTAGGGGCAGGAAACCCTAAGAGTGCCTGTACATCCCCCACCACACACACACACACACACACACACACACACACACACCCTGGCTATACGGCTTCTATGGATTGGATTTGTGCTGGTAATGTCCAGCCGCATCCCTCAAACCCTTGGGTAATGAGAAGGCAGGGGAGGGGGGAAGCTTCAGTGAAGAGGAGAGATATTTAAGAGAGAACCAAGATGATGAAGGACTGGGGGGTCAAATCAACTTCAGGGTATCCCTCCAGAAGCTCAGGAAGCACTAGGGGATTGTGGGCTGATGACCCAAGCCCAGAACTTTCTACCAGTGGGGAGAAAGGATGATGCGCAGACCAGGTCTTGAGGTGTCTGGTGGAGAAGTGGAAACATGACAGAGCCATGCTTAGGGAAAGCTGAAGGGCTAAGTGCATGGACACCGTAATAGCCTGAGGCGGCTGCTGGGGGAGCAGACCCAGGAACCACATGTCCCACTCTCGCTCCCCTGCCCCATCCCAGAGGCAGCCTGTATAACAACATTTTTTAAAGAAAAAAGGGGGAGGGGAAGAGCCAACCAATCAATACCTCAAAAAAATCAACATCTTGCACCCATTAACCTTGCCCCACTTCAGCAAATGAGGATTCCCTGTGTGACAGAGGCTCTCAGGAGCCAGCTCAAGGAAAGCTGGCCAGTGGGGTAAGCAACCCGCACACTTCCCCAGGGGTGGTGGGAGAGGATCCCCAGGGAACAGTGCAGTGGGGTGCTGAGGACAGGTCCAAACACATGCTCCCCACCCCCTGTGAAAAGGAGCCCACATGTGCCCGCTCAGCATCACCCGCCAAGGGGCCAGAGGAGCACGCGGCTAAAGGGAAGGACCACTGTCTGGTCCGGTGGGCGATAATAGCAACAGTCATAATAAAACACACAGGGCTTTGAGGTCGGTGAAGCCCTAGATACGTATACATGGGGATGTCTGTAGATGTAGAATTCCATCATTCTTGATCTTCACAACAACCTTGTGTGATGGGTACTATTACTACCCCCATTTTATAGATGAAGAAACTGAGGCTGTGGGAGGGAGGTTAGCCCAGGATCAGGCAGCTGGGTGTCAGAGGCTGGGTGTCAACGGGGTCTTGCCGACTCCAAATTCGGTGCTGTGACCACTGCACCCCCTAGAGGCCACGGGGTGTAAGACATGCCCATCTTTCCCTTCATACGCCCATTCTCTGCCCCCAACCCCACCAAAAAAAAAAAAAAAAAGTTGATTTAAAGGTAAGCTTAGTGCAGCTGACTGATAATCATGGGGCTAGGGAGTGGGGTGGGAGACGGGTCCTGGACACTGAGGGAGTCAAGTCATCTGTCTGTGTCTTGCGCCCTGGACAGGGCTGGGGTCAGTCTTGGCTCGAGACGCATTTGGAAAGGTTACTGCTCACTTTTGACACTTCCACGTCTCCCCCCGATCCCCAGAGTTACCAGGGTAGTGCCCATCAGGAAGGAACGGGTCGGGGTCCCAGCCCCCTAGCTCTCACGGTTGTGAAGGCACATCCAAGATCCCCCACCACCACGCCCTACCTTGACTCCCCCCCCCGCCCCCACCCTACACCCCAGCCTGGATGATAAGTCCAGAGTCCAGAGATCCAGGAAAGATCTGGGCAGGATAGAATCCTATGAGTCAGTCGGAGGTCACTGGGGACAGTAGGATCCATCCTATGGACATTCCGAGTAGCCATCGACATCAGTCAGACTGCAAGGACCCCTACCTTACAGTGTTCCACCTCTGAGACCCTTAGACCCCTTCGGGGAGGGGTCACATCTCACTGAAGCCAGCTCTGGGTTGACCAGTAGCTTAGCCTCCATCCCAGCACCAATGGAGCATTCTGAACCTCACTGGGGGGCAGAAGGAGCCAGGCTGAATGTGTGTCTCCTGCCTGGAGAAGCACACACCTGCCAGCCCCACCTGAGCCCCCAACAGCTGTGACTTCCTTGAGCTCTCCCCCATGTCCTGACTGCTTTGTGGGAGACTGCTTCATTTCAGGGATAATGAGGAAAAAGACTTACTGAGAAAACTTCAGGGACCCGGGGGTCACAGGCTTAGTGCTGGCAAGAGCTGAATCCGCCCCCCGGGAAGCGGGGTCACCCGGGTGCTCTCCATCTGTGAGGTGGAAGGGGAGTAGCCACTCTGAGCCCCTCCATCCCTCAGAGCTCGCCCAGGAGCAAAGGTCTGATTTAATTTAAGCACCAACAACTGGGACGTCCCCAGCCCCCTAATGCTCCCCAACACCAGACTGAGAGCAAGAGGTAGGATTAGCCCGCCATGCCCACCTTCCCTATGAGCGCTTCCTGGGCTCCAGGGTGGAGCCGGTGGGAAATGACCCATTACCTCCTCCCCCCAGAACGCTCACATCTGTCTCCCAGTGTTTTTCCTTCTTTATAAGTGATAAGAGTGAGCTCAAGCCTCTGGGTCTATCATGCCAGGTTAATTGCATTCATGAAACCCTATTGCATTAGCAACCTCCCATCTTTCCTGACCCTGATGGCTGGGTTTCCCAGGAAGGTGGTAGGAGTTTCCTGTTGGTTGAGAGCTCTGGCCTCTCCAAGAGCCTCGGGTGGACCAAGAAGGCGCTTTCTTCCTGCATCACTGAAGTGTTTATTAGCCTAATGTCACTGTAAGAAATAAAACTCCCCAAGGAATGTGGGATCACCCACTGACCTCAGCTGGAAAGCAGGGGGCACCCTAGGGCCCCAGGAAAGTCACCCACAGATTTCGGAAGAACAGTAAACGTGGATTTTTATTTTAGACAGTTTTTGTAAAGAACCAGTGCAGGCAGACCTGGGTGTCACGCCAGCGAGCGTAATCTTAACATGTCGTTTCAGAAAGAGAGAGAAGAATAACCGCTGGGGGAGGGGGGGAGGGGGAGCGCCTATGCGCCTGCGTCTCAGCGAGGCCAGGGCCATCCATCACACCAGATCGTCAAAGTCCTGATCCCCTTCCGCTCCTTCCAGTTTCATTACCTGCAAGGAAGATGGTGGAGGTGAGAACATCACACACAGGCAGTACCGCCCTCTGAGTGAACTCGGAGAAGGCTCAGACCCCACCCCGGGGCGGTCTGGAGAAGCTTCGGACCCCTCTCCAAAGAACGCATAAGGTAATTCCAGATGACTTTTATACCGGGCTCCACGTTATCTCATTAGCTCCTAACAACCTGGTGAGGGAGATACTGCAGGTATGATCAGCGTGCCTATTTTAAAGATGAGGAAACTGAGGCTCAGGCACCTGCCTGAGCCAGCACAGGTAGAACACGTGGAGGACCTGAGGTCTCCTGGACATCAGACCAAGGCTTTCACGGGGGATGCCCTCTGTCCTCATCTGTCTTATCTTCCCACTGAATGGTCTTGAGTTCAAACCCTCCCTCCGACAGTTACTAATTATGTGACCACTGAGGGCAGGCCTCTGGTTTCTTATCTGTAAAATAACTATACCTGCCTTTCAGGGTAGTTGTGAGAACTAAGAGATAATCTCTTTAAAGTCATTTGTGAAGAGCTAGGTAAACACTAGCTAGTGGTATTATATATGGTTAAATGGAACCCAGGCCTCCAGACCCAAGGCCGAGCTGCACAGTCATCCAGGGAAGTCCCTGGACCCCACATGGTCACGAGCTGCATGCTCTAGGTCCGTCCCGCCTCGAGCCAGGGCCAAGACTGGGGGCGGGGGAAGGAAGACGGTCTGGCAGCTCCCACATTCTTAGATGGGCTAGATGTCAGCAGCAGCCTGAGACCCCAGATCCCAAGCGGGGCGGCGTGCAAGGTGCTGGGGGCGTCTGTACAATTGAAAGCCGCTGTCTCTAGAGCTGAAAGCGGCTTTCACGGACTGTGACTCTGAGTGAAGAGTCACTTCTGCCCTGAGAGCCGTTTCCTGCGCATAAAATGAGGCTGCTATCAGCTCCTTTCTCTCACTCCTCCTTGTGAGCCTCAAAGGGATTCTGCACGGAAGCCATCTGGAAACCTCCAAGAGCCAGTGGTCATCAGCACTGCCCCTTCATCGAAAGGGTCAGCCAGCATTTACAGAGGCTCCCAGCATCTCCACAGACGTGGGCCAGGCGTCCTGGCAGAGCCCGCCTGGGAAGGGCCCGGGCTGCGGCCTTACCTGCTGGTCGATGCAGCGGAACTGCCAGGGCCAGCTGGACTGGTACAGGAAGGGCCTCGGGTCAAACCTGTTGTCATCCGGGCTGTAGCTCTCAGCGTGATAGGACGGAGTGAGGGTGGTCATCTTGTGCCTGTTCAGCGAGTACTTCCGGAAAAAGTGTTTCACCTTGTCGGCCACCTGGAGGACAAAGCACCAGGTAGACGCCCGGGGGAGCCTCTGGGGTCCAGACAACTGGCCACAGAGTTTAACATGGACAGAATCACGAATCAGGCTCACAGGGAGCCCAAAGCCGGGGAACGTGGGGCAAGGGTCTAGTTGGGAGTCAGCCCCAGCCAGACCCGTGTGGCAAGTCTGAATGACCCAGGTCAGGTTTAAAGGCGCCGCCTCCCTGGAGGGCAAAGACTCCTTACATTTCTGTCTCTGTGCTGGGCACGTACTAGGGGCATGATAAATGCCCGGTGGGATTAGAAGAGCACCCTAGGCAAACTGGGGTCCTTGAATGTAGTGACAATGGTCTAAAGATTATTAAGCTACCTATGCCGTTGTTATTACTTTCCAGGACCCTGGACTCCTGAGATTCGTGTCCCCGAGGGCAGAATCTGTGGGCCCCCCTGCACTCCAATCCCGCTTCGGCCCCTTTGCTTGACTGAATCCGATGCAGAACTGGGCCTCCCCCACCCCGATCACTCCAGCGTCTTCCTCCATTAATTACTTCCCACTTAGCTTGTCTCTGGCTTGCCTGGTACAGATTAGAAACTCCTCGAGGGCAGGGACCGTCCAGCCTAGTGCCTGGCACACAGCAGGACCAGGCAGGGGCTGAGAGGGGAGACGGCCAGGAGAGGCGCCCCAGGACAAACCGGGCCCTTTCCCTCCCACTGATGCGTGACCCCCTGCAGACAGACACCAATGGTGGGCTGCCCGTGAGCCAGGCAGAGGTGAGCGGGAACGTTTCCTAACTGGGGGCTCCCGGCGGAGCCGAGGGGCCGGCCGGCAGCGGGGAAGGGGCACGCGGGCCACTCCGCTACCTCTCGGGGGGTACAGATCTCCTTCCACATGTTGATGAGTTTGCAGAACATGCTGTACGGCCCGGCCTTCCCCACCTTCCTCAGTCTCCCAAAGACGGTCAGCTCCTTGTAGGTCACCCCCATGTCTTCCTGCGGAAACAAGGAGCCCCCCGAGCGTGAGGAGGTCGCTCAGGACGGGGGGGGGGCAAGGCCTGGATCCTGCCTCCCACCCTCAGGGGCCGCCTCCTGAGCTGGGCCCAAGGCCAAGCCAGAATTTTGCCAAGACCGGATCAGCTGTGAGCTCCCAGCAAGGAGACGCCTCTGGGAAGGCGAAAGGACGCTACGAGCCCCGGGTTCGAGCCCTGGCTGTGTGACCCCTCGGTCGCCCTGTCTGTGAAATGGGGATACCGGCTGTACCGCCTACCTCGGAGGCGCACAGCCCTCACGAGGGAGCGTCTCTGCCCCGGGAGCCACAGGTGTCCAAAGGCCCACGCTCCAGGTGAGGCCGCCCAAAGAGGAGGGCGTGCCGACCCCGGGGCCACCCCTTGCAGGACGAGCCAGCTGGGGGGCTCGAGGGGGAGGAGCAAAGTTGGGCGCCAGGAAAACCTCAGAGGCCGGCGAATGGGAGGAAACTGAGCCCCCGAAAGGGGAGGCGACCTGTCCAGGGTCACACAGGGTTAAGAGACAAGAGGCAGCACTCGAACTCAGGTCCTCAGACTCCTAAGCCAAAATGCCAGCACAGCCTCACTGTGGGAGGAGGCTGGAAGGGAAGGAGGCCCCAGCATCCTCCCAGGTCATGGCTGTCCCCTGGAGCAGCCCATTTTCATGGAGCTTTCCTCACTAAGTGTTATGAACCCATTTTACTGATGGAGAACCTGAGTCTCGGCAAAGTTCAGTGATATGTTCGGGGACACACAGCCAGGAATCTGGACAAGCAACATTCATTCAGTGCCTCAAATGTTACTGACAACAATGAAAACATGAACATTTACAGTGTGTGAAGGCTGGCCACGTGCTCTCCACGTCCTCTTACCGGATCCTCACCTTGATCCTGAAAGGAGGGTGCGTATCCCCACTTTACGGGTAAGAAAACCGAGGCAGACGGCATTCAAGTGACAAGCCCAGGGCCACCCAGCTAGCCAGTGTCTGAGGCAAAACTCAAACTCAGGTCTTCCTGTCTCCCCCGACTCCACGCCAGCCCACCGTCCAGCAGATGGGAGTGGCTCTCTGAGGCCCCCGCCCCGGCCTCCTTGTGAACAGGGAGCCCCCCAATCCTCTGCCCAGGGGCCGGCCAGCACGCTACCTCATCGGTCTGGGACACTTGTCCTTCGGCCAAGGGCTTCAGCTCGGCAGTGGCTGGAGCGGCCATGATGCTGTGAGAGAAGGAGGCGGGTGTGGCGTGAGCGGCTGTGGCTGCTACACGTCTCTCTCCTCCCGGGACGGCGGAGGGGGAAGGGGGCACTCTACTCCGGACCCGAGCGCCCCAAACCCGGAGCCCAAACGAGCAAGGGGCCCCGGCTGACAGCTCCTCCCAGCCCAGCCACTCAAAGCTCCCCTGAGAAGCCCCCCTCTTCCTCCCAGGTCTGATCAGCTCCGATCGATCAGCTGTGACCAAGCGCTACTAGGCCAATGACCATGGAAGGCCTCCTGGAGGAGGTGGTGCCTCAGCTGAGCCCTGAAGGGAGGTCAGGTGGGACACGGCGGTCAGGGAGGGGGAACAGAGCACGGTGGAGGGAATTAACGTCCCGTGAACCAGATTCGAAGGCCAGGCACAGGGATCTGTTGTTTATCCTTGTGGCAGACAAGAGGGGGACACTGGAGATTTGGGGAGACAGCCACCGGCCAAGTCTGACCAATTTTCATCTCTGCCATCTGACCCCTCCCCAGCTCAGGCCTCACTGCCCTGGCCTAGACCACTGCAATGACCTCCCCCTTGGCTTCCCCGCTCCAGGCTCCACCAACCACCAAGTCTGACCACATCCCTTCCCGAATGAAGAGCGTTCCATGGCCCCCTATTACTATTAGGGTCTAAGACAATCCCCTCTACTTAGCATCTGAACCCCCGTGGCCAGGCTCTGACTCCACACTGAGGCCCTCCAGTTCGCTCCGGGTGCCGGCCAAACTGGACGGCCAGCACATCATCTCTGACCTCCTGGTCTTTGCCCTGTGGGCAGAGGGGCCCTCCTTCTCACTTGCTCCTCCCGGAGTCCTCAGCTCAGGTGCCACACCTTTCACCAGGCCTTTCCTGATCACCCCCATCCTTGGGGAACTGAACTGAATGTGGGAGGGGGTCATGTGAGCTCCACACCCACAGGGCGTGGGCCCTGCCCCCTCTGAATACACCCTATCCCTTCCTCAGAGAGGGAATGCGCCTTGTATACGGTAAGCGCTAATCCCTTCTCAACTCTTCAGTGCAAGGGACTTTAGAGGATGGAGGGCCTTCCATGCGGGCTCAGGGGGCAGGGATTTCATCTGGAAGGGCCTGGACGGTCGAGCCAGTCTCGGGCTCAGGCCCAGCTCACCTCCGCAGGCAGACGAGATGGAAGTGGTCTATGCAATACTGGATAAAGGTCCTGATATCAGTCTTGCTCATGCCGCCAATGGGGTTGATATCTGCGCTGGAGCAGTCATACTTGGTCACGTAACCTCGGAGGCTGAGAGCAAAGAAGACCCTCACTTCAGGCAAGGGAGGGCCAAAGGGGGTGGGGGGAGAGGCCACAGGCCTGGGAGACTTCAGGGTGTCAGAACCCTGACCAGGGAGCCCTGGGCCGGCGCCGGGACGGAGGGAGAAGCCTTCCCCTAGCCTGCTTCTCCTCCATGACTCAGAGAGAGTCCGAGCATCCCCTTGCAGCCCCCGGCCCATCACGCACAAGCCGGCACATCTCTGATGCTCTAGAACGTACCACTCATCCACGTTGGTGGTGCCGAGCACCAGGAGTCCCCCTTGCATCCCCCGGGACCACAAGCTCAGCTGGGCAAAGAGATAGGAAAAGACCATCCTGACCCGTGCCTACGGAATAAGGGAAAATTAGAGGGCGGACAGCAGCCCGGTTTCCTTTACCACCTTTGTTCATAAAGGGCCAACAGCCCCCAGCAGACCTCCCAGTGCACGGCAGACGCCAAAGACTCCAGGCGCCTCGTGCCACCCCAGTCCAACAGCTGCCCCCAGGGGCCTGTGGGCACCTGGAAAGTGGAGAAACGAGAGGCCACGGGGAGCGGTCACGGAGTCAGGGTGAGAAGAGTGGACAGTGAACATGTCCTGTCTTTTCCACCCCGACAACGTCTTGGAGGCGCCCCTCCCGTCCTCTGGCACTGCCCCCATCCCCCATCTGGATGACTGCAGTGGCCGTGGGGGCAGTCTGAGGGGGAAGGTCCGCCTGCCCCTGACCGCTCGTGAGCCCTGGCCCCTGAGCCCCTGGGCCCGTCTAGACCTCAGTCTCCTCAGCTGCAAAACAAAAGGAATGAACTCCTGGCCCGAGGTCCTCAACATCACCGCCTCCATTTGGGGTCTGGAAGCCTAACTGCTACTTCTAATGATCACAGAATAAAACTGGGACATTCTCTCTTGGTCAGTCAATAAACCCTCCTCCTCTCTGGCCACTGACCACCCTGGCCTCATACAAGTCCCAGCCAAAATCTCACCTCCAGGGAGCCTTTCCGGATTCCCCCTGCTGATTACCTCCAATTTATCCTGTCTGTAGCATGTGGGAACACAGTTATCAATCAATCAATCAATAGACACATATTAAGTGCCTACTATGTGCCAGGCACTGTGCTTGCCTGAATGTTGTATTAGATTTCTATCTCCAGCACTTAGCAAAGTGCCCAGCATACAGTAGGCGCTTAATACATGTTTACTGACTGACTGTTGTCTCCCCCGGCAGATTGTGAGCTGCTCGAGGGCAGGGAATATCTTTGGCCTGCTTTTGTATGCCGATCAATTGGCACAGGGCCTGGCACACAGTAGGTGCTTCATAAATGTTTACTGACTGACTATTAGCCTCATCACCTACTGTTTCTCTGATGCCTGAAGATTTACAAAGTCCTTTCCTTTCATTAACCCCACAAATCAGGAAGCACACCCAAGGCCCTTGTGTGGACAAAGTGAGATCACGCGGGTCAAGTGCCTCGAAATCCTCCAAGGAGAGGGCAGTGTAAGCTCATGCACCATGCCAGGAGGAAACTGAGGCCTGTTTCCCAAAGAAGGGGAGGGGCTCACCGGAGAGCCAACTCAACACCTCCCCCTCCTCTCACACCACAACAAACAGTGAGAATGAGTGTAACATGGGCCGCGACTGCGCTCACCACTGAGGTCAGAAATGGCGACTGATCTTAATGGGGCGCTTCAACATGTGCCTCTCACCCGAACCTCACAGGTATTACGCACCTGCTGCGTGCCAGGCACCGGGGGACGACGCCACAATCTTGTGAGGTCAGCCCTGCAAGCGCCATTACCCCATTTCACAGATGAAGAAGCCGAGGTTCGGACTTGCCCACGGTCACACAACCAGAAAAGCGTCAGGACCCAGACCCAGCCTCCCAGGGTGCGGAGGAGGGGGCTTCCGTCGGACCCCCACCTGGGGCCACTGCCGGCAGGCGCCCAGGACGCCGCCGGCCAGCCCCCCAGGAGGACCCACCTGCACGTTCTGCATGGCCACATCCTCGCGGCTGCTTCCCCCGTGGACCAAGAACTGCGGCATCTTGCCGGTCATCACGCGGAAGATCTCCATGATGGCTTTGACGACCCCATCTATGTTGAAGCTGATGTGGTAACTGCAGGGGAGGAGGCCGCGTGAGGGAGGGCTGACCATCAAGTCAAATGCCCTGTCTTCAAAGGGGCCGGCGGACGGGACCAGAGTGGAGGAAGCCAGAGTCCTCCCACACCAGGAAACACCACCGGGGAACTGTGGCCAAAAGGGCAGCCCAGGGAGTCAACGCTGCACCCCCAAAAGCCAACGCCCCACGATGGCGCAATCGGAAGCCCACGACATTGTCAGGAAGGCCAGAAGGCAGGAGGGGCTTGCCCAAGGCCCGGCCCCTGCCCGGTGCTGCTGCTGCTGCTGCTGCGGAAATCAAAACTAACCAAATGCCCAAAGACAGCCGGGGGAGGCTCCCAAACACCAGGGAGTGTGAAGGGGCAGGAAGACGGGCTGCAGGAAACGGTCCAGAGGGGACCTCAGGCACTCATGAAAACAACCAGCAGCTGCCTCCCTGGGGCAAGGGAAGCCACCCAAATGGCTGGGCACGGAGGCCGCTGGACGGAAATGCAGAAAACCAAACGAGATTCACATGAGGAAACTGAGGCCGGGGGCCGAGCCAGAGCCACCCCAAGTCAGGGGTGATTGGGGTTCAGTCAGAAGGGCGACACCCTGCGAGTCTGGAGGAACCCCCCCAGAGGCGGGAGCCCCTCCAGAAGCCAGCCCGCTACCTTCCGATCTGCTCAGCCAGCTCCTTGGCCTTGTTGTAGGTGTCCTGCGAGGAATTCTGCGTGGCCATGTAGCACGTGGTCAGCAACTGACCACACAGCTTCTGGGGGTCCTGGGGGAGGACGTCGTCACGGTTCAAGATCCTCTGGACGTCGGCCAGCACCTCCTTATCTGGAAAAAGAGCAGACGGAGGCGGCACTCAGCACCCCCCACAATCACGAGATCACACAGACACACAATCACACACATGTAATCACACGATCACACACATGCACACAAACCACACACTCACACACACACACATGCACACCCTTGCAAACATTCTCAGACACATACACACACAGTAACACAGAAACACACACTCACAAATATACATATACGCACACTCACACGTATAACAAACTCATAAGCATAATACACACACACACACACACACACACAGCTGTATCACAAACGCGCGGAGACCGCCCCCCCGCCCCAGTTCCTGAACACTCCGCCATGCCACGCCACGCTCAGAGGGCTTGGAGCAGCCGGGCCCCAGGGGTGCACAGCAACCTCCCCGAGCCAGGCAGACTCAGTCCAAGTTGGCCCCACCAAGGTCATGGCAGCCAGAGGTGCAGTGGACGGCGCTGGACCTGGAGTCAGGAAGACTCGAGTTCAAATCTAGCCTCAGACGCTTCTCTGGCTGTATGACCCTGGACAAGCGACTTCCTGTCTGCCTCAGTTTCCTCATCGACCTCCTAGGCAGGCTGCTGTGAGGATAAAGGAGAAGCGCCTCCGGAGGACCAAGGGCTAAGAATGGACCGGACTTTTCACCTCTGTCGTTGAGGATTAAAAACAAACACCCGCGTAGGAGACCAAATAGGCTGAGGCAGGGACCCTGGCAATCACTGAGCCCAGCCTTGTTTTATAGAGGGGGAAACTGAGGCTGGGGGGGGGAGGTGCATCTGCAGGAAGGTGGTAAACAAAGGCGTGCCCTTCCCCCAGGCCTGAGGGGGGCAGCCATGGCAGAAGTGCTGAGCCAACACGCCCATTGCGACTCTTGCCTGAGGCAAAGTTGAGAAGCTGGGAGACAGAGAACTAGGGGTCCTAAGACCCGGGTGCAAGTCTCGCCCAAACCACGTCCCCAGCAGGTACAACGAGATGACTGGAAAGGCCGAGGGTGGGGGTGGGGGGAGTCACTGTGGGCTCCTAGCCCCATCTCCCCAGGGTCTGGACAAGCGCTCTCCCTTCTCACCCCTGCCTCTAGGAATCCCGAGGGTCCTTCCAGGCACCGACTCCCCAGGAGGCCATTCCCAACGAACGGGTAGCATCCCTTCCTTCTGAAATGGCTCCCTATTGACTCAATGTGTATTTAATAGCTATATGGATACACTGTGTGTCCTCTCACTGAGCAGAAGCTTCCCGAGGGCAGGGACCACTTCACCCAGTCTGTACGTCCAGCGTCCAGCCGGGCCTGGCACACAGTGGGTGCCTGAATCAACCAACCACCATGTGTTGAGCTCCTACTATGTGCCAGGCACCAGACCCCAGCCGTCTAAGAGCTTACGACTAGCCGAGGTCTAATCTGGGCATATTCAGGCGGACAGACAGACAGCGGCGAGACATCTGGCAGGAAACGCACCGGCAGCTGGTGCTGGGAACAGGCTTCGCGGCCAGGGCGCGCCCTCTCCGGGAAGGTCTGCAAAGCACGTTACACACGCACGTCCTGACCACAACGGCCCTGTGTCGCTGTGGAGTCATTTCAGTCGCGTTCGACTCCGTGGCCCCATTTGGGGTTTTCTTGGCAGAGATACTAGTTTGCCGTTTCCTTCTCCAGCTCATTTTACAAATGAGGAAACTGAGGCAAAGAGGGTGAAGCGACTGGCCCAGGGTCTGAGGCTGGATTTGAACTCAGGGAGAGGACCCTTCCTCATTCCGAGCCCAGCGCTCTGCGGCGCCCCCTAGCTGCCCTGGTAATAGCTTTCTGGGCTGGGTGCTGCTACCATCCCATTTCAGTCACCAAGGCAGAGCGGAGAGCACCCGCCAACTGAGCAGAGGCCCCCAGGAGAGCCCGCGGCGTCCTCGCCACTTACTTCCGTTACTCACGGCTTGGCAGACCTGGCAGCACATGGAGTACACCAGGCAGGCCGTCGCAGAGCTGTCCAGTCCACCGCTAAGGGGGAGGAAAAATCCGGCCTCGAAAGAGCAAAGCGGAGAAGGGCATGAGAAAAGCGTCCTGGGCAAGCGTCTTTCTTTCAGTCAAAGTGCACGCCGACATCAGAATTCCCATCCGGGGCAACCATCGCGGAGGCTGCCTTACTCCCCTCCCCCCAGCCCCGGCCACAGCTCGTAGCGACCTCTGAAGGATCAAGGAGAAGGGAGGAGATGCCCTGAGCCCGAGAAGGGCCCGCTGCCTGACTTTCAAAAGAGGAAGACGCTGCCACTTCAAGCTCGAGACAGGTACACAAGTGGCATTTCAGCTCCTGGCCAATTTCAAGAACTCATTATGTTACTATTTTAAAGTCATTTTTATTTTATTTCATTAAGTATTTCCCAGTTATATGTAAAAAAAAATTAACACTCATTTAAAAAAAATTGAGTTCCAAATTCTATTTCTCTCTGCCATCCCTTTCCCCTCTTTGAGAAGGCAATTTCATATTGATTAGACATGTGACGTCAGGCACAACATATTTCCATAGTAGTCATGTTGTGAAAGAAAACGCGCACACACACACACGCACGAAAAAATAAAAAAGAAGAAGAAAGTCTGCTCTGATCTGCATCCGGATTCCATTCACTCTTTCTCTGGAAGCGGATGTTTTTCACCATGGGCCCTTCAGAGATGTCTTGGATCACTGTAGCGCTGAGAAGAGCTAGGTCATTCACAAAGTGATCACCATTACAATACTGTTGTTACTACGTACAGTGTTCTTCTGGTTCTGCCCACTTCACTTCACATCAGCTCATATAAGTCTTCCCAGGTTTCTTCAGAACTCAGCCTGCTCTTCATTTCTCACAGCAGGATTCCATCACAGTCACATACTTGTTCAGCCATTCCCCAACTGACGGGCATCCCCTCAACTTCCAATTCCTTGCCACCACAAAAAGAGCTGCCATCAATGTTTTTGTACAGACGGGTTCCTTTCCCTTTTCTTTAATCTCTTTGGGATACAGACTTAGTAGTGCTATTGCTGGGTCAAAGGGTAAGCAATTTTACAACCCTAGGGGCGTAGAGAACATATTACCTCAAAAGGATGGTTAGTGAATGTGCAGAAAAGGAAGCAGTGATAACAAAAAGCCATTGTGTGATGGTCAACTACGAATGACCCAGCTCTTCTCAGCAACACAACGGTCAGAGACAAGTACAAAGGAAAATGCTATCCACATCCACATATAGAACTGCTGGGCTCTGAATGCAGACCAAAGCATATTCTTCTCACTTACTTTATTCATTCTTGTTTTTTTTACCCCTTTTGATCTGTTTCAACTTTCACAACTGTGGCTAATATGAGAAATATGTTTTACATGACAGCACATGTCTAACCTATATCACACTATCATTTTCAGAAGAGTGGAAGGGAAGGAGGGAGGGAGGGAGAAAAATATGGAACTCAAAATCTTACAAAAATAAATGCTAAAAAGTATAGTTTCAGAGGACAGAGCCAAGATGGAGTGAAAGCAGGGACTCTCCTGAGCTCCCCCCAAAGCTCTTCAGACACCTCTAAAAAATGGCTCTGAACAAATTCTAGAGCGGCAGAACCCACAAAGAGACAGAGTGAGGAAGGTTTCCAGCCCAAGACAACCTAGAAGGTCGACAGGAACGGCCTGAGAGAGGTGGGTTCCAGTCTTCCCCACCCACAGACACCAGAGACAACTTAGAAGGCCAGCAGGAGGGAGTCTGTCGAAACTGGGTGAGAGAGAAGCATGGTACAACACAGAGCTGCAGGGCGTGCAACACAGCCCCCGCACTGGCAAACCAGGGACAGGCTTTGGGAGTACCTGAATCAGCAGCAGCGGCAGAGCGGTCGGAGCGAAAGCGGCTGCTCCTGGAACTATCAGCCCACAGACTCAATGTCTGAAAGTCACCTACTTCGACCTCCAGGAGCCAAGTTGGTGGAGTAAGCAGTAAGTCACGCTCAGCCTCCGTTACTGACCTTAAAAAGCCCAGAGAATATTGTCCCAGGAAAAATCCTAAATAGCAGACTCAACAGAAAGACTAGATACAGAAGTCTCTTAGCTCCTGAGGCTAAGGGGATTCATGGGAAAGGCCCGGAAATAGGGGACTTCCAGACTTTCCCGATGAAAAGACCAGAGCTCAATGGAAAATCTGATCTCTAAATACAAGACTCAAGAGAGGCATAAAAAGGTAAACAGGAAAGGGGAAGAAAAAACAAAACAAAACAAAACAACATATTATTTAATAAGGGCAAACTGTTTACATCCCTACGTGGGAAGATGATACTTATAACTCTTGAGAACTGTACTGTTATTAAGACATTCAAAAGGGGTATACATAGACAAAGGGGGTGGGGTTAAGTTGACCTTGATGTGATGATAAAAAACATAATGAAGTGGTGAAAAGGAACTGTAATGGGAGAAGAGGGAAGGAGGAAGCAGAAAACTTTTTGCGCTTTTCACACAAATAAAGTCAGATCTAAATAACTGGTAAAACATCAGTTGCTCATGGGTCAGCCGAGCTAATGTAATAAAAATGACAATTCTACCTAAGCTAATTTACTTATTCAGTGCCATACCAATCAAACTACCAAAAAATTATTTTAAAGAGCGAGAAAAACTAATAACAAGATTGATCTGGAAGAACAAAAGGTCCAGAATATCAAGGGAATTAATGAAAAGAAATGCAGGGGAAGGTGGCTGAGCCATTCCAGATCTTACAGAGTAGTGGACCAGTGGAATACGTTAGGTACGCAAGACACAGTAGTCAATGACTATACTAATCTACTGTTTGATAAACCCAAAGACTTCAACTTCTGGGATAAAAACTCACTATTTGACAAATTGCTGGGAAAACTGGAAAAGAGTATGGCAGAAACTAGGCATAGACCAACGTCTTACACCCTATACCAAGATAAAGTCCAAACGGGTACACGATTTGGATATAAAGGCAGATACTATAAGCAAACTGGGAGAGCAAGGAATAGTTTATCTATCAGATTTATGGAGAACAGAAGAATATGATCAAACAAGGGATAGAGAACATTATGAAATGCAAAATGGATAATTTTGATTACATTAAATTGAGAAGTTTCTGCACAAACAAAGCCAATGCAACTAAGATTAGGAGGGAAGCAGAAAACTGGTAAAGAATTTTCACAACCAGCACATAAAGGCCTCATTTCTAAAATATATAGAGAACTAAATCAAATTAATAAGAATACAAGTCATTCCCCAATTGATAAATGGTCAAAGGATATGAACAGGCAGTTTTCAGAGGAAGAAATTAGAGCCATCTATAGTCAAATAAAAAAAATGGTCTAAATCACTACTGATTAGAGAAATACAAATCAAAACAACTCTGAGATACCACATCACACCTATCAGATTGGCTAACATGATAAAACAGAAAAATGATAAATGTTGGAAAAGATGTGGGAAAATTGGAACATTAATACATTGATGGCGGAGTTGCGAAATGATCCAACCACTTTGGAGAGCAATCTGGAACTGTGCCCAAAGAGCTATAAAATTGTGCATACCCTTTGACCCAGCAATAGCACTTCTAGGGCTGTATACCAAAGAGATCACAAAAATGGGAAAAGGACTCACACGTACAAAAATATTCATAGCAGCTCTTTGTGTGGTGGCAAAGAAGTGGAAATTGAGAAGATGCCCATCAATTGGGAATGGCTGAACAAGTTATGGTATATGAATGTAATGGAATACTGTTGTGTTATAAGAAATGATGAACAGGCAGACTTCAGAAAAACCTGGAAAGACTTGTATGGTCTGATGCTGAGTGAAGTGAACAGAACCAGGAGAACGTTGTACACAGTAACAGCCACGTTGTGTGATGACTAATTTTGATCAACTTAACCCTTCCTGGCAATACAAGGATCTAAGACACCTCCAAAGGCATCATGATGGAAAATGCTACCCACATCCAGAGAAAGAACTGTGGCATCTGAATGCAGATCGAAGCAGACTATTTGCTCTTTTTTTTTCCTTCTGTTTTGTTTTGTTTCTTCTTTCTTGTGGTTCCTCCCATTGGTTCTAATTCTTCTTTACAACATGACTAATGTGAAAATATGTTCAACAGGAATGTATACGTGGAGCCTATATCAGACTGCATGCCATCGTGGGGAGGGAGAGAAAATTTAAAATTCAAAAGCTTATAGAAGTGATTGTTGAAAACTAAAAATAAATTAAGAAAAAATAAATGTTAAAAATTTTCTTGACTTGTAACTGGGGAAAAAAATAAAATACTATTAAAAAGAAAAAGCGAGCGCTGCCTGTGGGGAAGAGGGAGCAGCTTTGCTCTGCTGGCCCCAGCAGGAACAGAAAGCAACATGTCCTACAGAGAGGAGCACTCCCCACGTGGGGAGGATGGCCCAGGGAGGCCTCGGGACCTTCCCAGAAGAGGTGGAGCAGCCCCTGTTATCAGCAGTCTTTGAAGGGGATTCTGACCCAAGTTCATCCGGCCCAACGGCCTCTGAACTTCCGTCCAGTTTCCGTCCAGCTTCATCCAGCTCAGAGACTCTGAGCGATGATCCTGCCCGGGGGACAGTCTGAAGGCCCGGGGCAGGAGGCCTCCAGGGACTCCCCGTGTGGGCAGATCAACCAGCCCAGGGAAAGTCCTCAGCACCCCAGGCAACAGCAAGCTGGCCTCAAGCGGCCACCTGAACCGCAGGAGACAGCGCCCGTTTCTGAGGTGTTCTATGGGCCCCCCACACATGCCCAAACACAGAGGGACCCAGACATCTCACCTGCTCACTGCGCCTCAAGTAATCCCACAGCCAACACGCAGGGCCAAGGCTGCCAAGGAAGCGGAAACAGAGGGTGAAGACAAGCTCCGTTCGTGCATGAGCCCCCAAAACCACCACATCTAGAGGGGCTAGGGGCCCCAAGCAGAGCCAGCCACAGAGGACTTCTCAAAAGACTCCTCTCTGCCCACACAGCAGCCCATGAGATTACAAACCCGGGCTCGTGCCTGCAGGGGAGAATTATGCAGCCCTCCAGCCATTTTTCTATTATCTTTCTATCACCCACCTGAAGATCTATTTGTCTATCATTCTCCTACCTATCCATCATCATCAGTCTATACATCCACCTACATATGCATGTACTTACATTATCTATCTGTCATCTAGCTAGCCCCCTCCCAAAGACCAGGAGCGCCAGGGGGCCTCACCCAGGACCATACAAGTACTGAGTGCTGGTAGGGGGATTCACCCCAGGTCTCTCCTGGCTCCTGGTTCAGGACTGCCCCTGGGCACCCGTGCCTCGAACGCCCCTGCCCACAATCCCCCCCTCGCCCAGCACGTCCCAGTGAATGACTGCAGCCTCTCCACCACCTGAGTGTCAGAATCTTGACCCTTCATGCCCTGTGCCCTCATACCAGACAAATGCCTTGGTTTAATGGAGTGCTGCCCTCCTTAACTCCAAACTCGACACCTAAGCTGAGCCAACCTAACTACCATGTGTATCACGAACTTTTAATCACAAGAGGAAGTGCAGGGACCATGATTCTCCTTTTACAGATGAGGAAACTGAGGCCCAGAACTGAGATACTGGTGTGGAGACTGAGAGGTATCTGGAGAATATTCTTAATAACTCTTCAGCATCAAGGACAAGGTACCAAGTACAAAGCCTTGGAGGAGGGGCACCAGGTCAGGCCCTGCCAACCAGAGGCTGGGGGCCCCCTCGGCGGGCCTGAGTCCGGCTGGACTGGAGGCGGTGCCTGGGTGTGGCTCAAGCCACCCGACTCAAACACCCACCTGATCTCCTCCCCGAGGCTGTGAAAGTGCCACCTGATGGGCTCTGTGGTGGACACCAGCACATCATCGTGGCACGAGAGCGCAAAGTCGACCTTGACGCGGGTATAGGGAACCACCGTGCTGGCCTGATGGGTGAAACAAGATGCAGGCGCCCCCCCTGAGCGCGGGAGCTCCTGAGGGAGTCCAGGGAAGACCCAGAGGTGTCCGGGGAGCGAGACAGCTCCCAGCCCTGCAGAAGGAATCTCCTGCCTCGTGACACGATGGGACCAGTACGGTGACTGCCCTCCCCCTGGACAGATGGGGAACCCCAAGCCCACAGGGGCACGTGGCTGGTGTGAGATGACGGAGCTCCTCCGCAATGGGGCTGGGACAAGAGCTCAAGGTCCCCACCTCGCCGCCTCCCTCCACCAGGCCACACAGACCAGGTCTGACCGGACACTCACCATCAAGTTACGAGAGGAAATTTCTGCCCGGTAGCTGCGAATGTCCTCCAAGTCGACTGTGGCCGTGAGGACCTCCTAAGCAAAGAAACGTCAGGAGGAAAGAGTCTGGATTCCACGCGCTCTGCAGCAGCAGCAGCTGCTCGCGCCATTCCTACAGGCTTCCCTTATGGGAAGTGGTGCCCTGGTCCCCCTACTCTCTGGATGAGGATATCGCGGTACAGAGAATTCAGTGATGGGCCCCAGAACTCGAGCCCAGGTCCCCTGAGACCAAGCCCAGGCAGGCTTTCTGACGCCTGCCCCGGCTGTGACAAAGCCAGGGCCGGCGTGGGTGACGCCAACTCTCCGCGTCCATGCCTGTCCCACTTGGGCCATTTTCTACTGGTGCCTTTTTGACCCCTTCCACCGCCCCGCTCAAGCGTCTCTAGGGTCTCCCTATTTTAATGCTGCTTTTCCTAAAAATGCAACTGATAAACCAGCTGCGCACAGAGGGATGATGGCTGCCTGCCGGCCGTGTAGAAGCAAGTCACACACGTGTGCACGCACACGCACACACGTGCACACACAAGTGTTGACAAAGCACTGCTTAGTCATCAGCCTCTGTGCTATCATCCCCTATCTGTGCCCCTCATTCATTCACTGCAAAGTGCCTACTGAGTGCGAGGCATGGAACTGAGGTTGTTCCCAAGACAAAATGGCCAGGCCCTTTCCTCCGAGCTGCCAGAGAGCTGTACTGGGTGTGAGAGGAGAGGGTAGGGAACAGGATGTCGATACGAGGAGGGGGTGGGGGCAGACCAAGGGCTCCGGGAGAAGGCTACAAGGAGGACACAGCAAGAAGGGAGGCAGGAAATCAGGAGGGCTTCACAGAGGAGGTGGCCCCTCTGCTGAGCCTCGAAGCAAGGAGAGAGAGGCCAAGGCATGGTGAGTAGAGAGAAGGGATAGTGGGCCAGGATGGGAAGGAGAGTCACGGGAAGCCAGGCTGAGGATGCTCCCGTTGCCAGGTGAGGGAGCCACAGGCGGGGAGTCAGACTGGGGTCTGAGAAAGGCCGCTCGGGCAGCCGGGAGCCCCACAATCCGAGAGGGGCACGGAAGGCCAGGAGGCCCATGAGGAAGCTGTCGCAATGACCCAGGTGCGCGTGAGGCTGGAGGCTCAGTGAGATTGACGAGGCAGAACTAGAAAGCTGGCAGCGACTGGTCCCGGGGGTTACAGGCTCCACTGGCTCCGGGAGAGTGGCTGGGGGGTGGGGGTGCCCTCCATAGGAAAGAAAGAAAATCTGGGGGGGGGGCAATTTCCTCTTTGCATCCTCAGTGCCAATACTCGGCTGGTACTTACTAAACAGTCCCTCAGTCTACCCAAATGACAGCTCACCTGCCTACGGTGTCTGCACTGAATGAGGGATCGAATGAATGGATGGATGGATGGGTGACTGCTTTCCTGACAACAACCCTGCAGGGCTAGGGACAGAGACTCACTCCCCTGTACCCATAAATGTCAGAGGCAACACTCGAACCCGGGTCTTCTGGCTCTAACCCCCTGCCCATGTGCAGGACAAATGGCCTGGGAAGAGAAGAGCAGGAGAGTCACCCTCCCGCTACACACACACTCACGCGCCTCACCACATCATCCAAGGAAAACTGCGCGCCTTGGGCGACGGTGGACCCATTCACAGAGATCATGGAACACCCATCATAGTAGAGCCGGCCGCCATCACAGCCTTTCTGATTGGCCATGAGATAAATCCCACCATTCTGGAAAAGAAAAGCACGTGGCCAGAAACGTCCCAGGATGGCTCCAGGGGCACCTCTGCTTGCCCAGCCCAAAGACCCCAGATGTAGCTTGGAGGCCTCGTCCCCCTTCCCCATCTCACGACGGTGTCCCCAACGTCATGGAGGCAGCTACTGGGGACCGACTTCTGCTGGCACGGAAGGAGAGATGGCGTGGCCCAGGAACCAGCGGGCAGAGATGCCCGTGGTGATGGTGTGGGGGTCAACGGCCCTTCCGGGGAACCAGCAGGTTGTGGACGGGAGGACGTGGTCAGAGAGGGGGGAACGAGGGCTTTCTACTATTCTGCCTAGAAAATAAAACATTCCTCTGGAAATGACCATTTCCCAGAATCCTTTAAGGCAGCTGACCCAGAGCCCTTGCAGAATCAGGGTGTAGAGAGAGGGTGAAAAGCAAACGCCATCTTGAAATCCGAGGGGCTAGCCAACAAGACTCCAGTCCCAGACCACAATGTGCTTCCCTTCCCCCACAGTCCGGGGAGGAAGGCAGGAGGAAAATGGCGGCCCCCACTTTCCAGAGGAGGAGCCTGAGGCAGCCAGGCCTCTGGGAACTCAACCCGACATGTTCCCGTCCCCCCACGCACACGCGATCCATCCCTCACAGCAACTTCCCAGACAAGAGACGCACCGAACAGATCCAGGCTCGTGTGGACCTACCTTTAAGGTGGCCAGGTTCACCAAATCCACTCTGGTGTGGGCCTTCCGCAGTACATGGTGACTCCCCGAGGCATTGGTGAAGATTTCTACTCCGTCCAGGCCCATATCAATGTGTGGGCTAAAGAAAAGACGAGTGGGCAGACCGCCGAGTGGCCAGGTGCATCTGCCCGCATCCTCCTCACTGCCCGGGCATGCTCCCGCGCTCCTCCAGGAGGGAAGCGCGGGGGGCCCACGCCCGGGCCCGGGCCCGGAGATTACCTGTGAGGTGTCCACAGCTCCTCACAGATTTCTGTGCCGATGCACGTGTCTTTGGTTGCCAGCACCAAATCACCAAAAGGAACCACATCCTGTTTGCAGAAGGAAAGCCGCTGATGAGCGACCCACCTCTTTACGGGATGGTTCTCTCCCGCCATGCTGAGCTGCCATGGATGCCACGGGGAGGGCCTGCCGCAGCCGGGGCTCCTGTCGCCCACTCATGGGACTCAGGGCCAATGCCGGAGGGCGCCCCTCTGACGACACTGAGACCCACCAAGGTTCGGGTCCTCACCAGAGCTCCCCAATGAGGAATTGGCAAAGCACAATTAGAACCCAGGCCCCGACGCCTCTTCCCCAGCCCCACCGCTGTGAAGGCAGGCCCTAAGCTCACCAACCATCCGGCCACGTCCAGGCCCATTAGTTTTGCTTCTCCACCTTCCACTGACTACCCAACTGGCAAGGCCCCGCCCATCGGAACCTCCCTGACAGGTAATGTGGGGTAGTGACTAAGGGGTGACCTCAGGGTCGGGAGGGCTTGTGTTTAAGCCTCGCCTCTGACCCTTCCTGGCTCTGGGCCCCTGGGCAGGCCTCTGGACCTCTGTGTGCTCCAGGCACCTCTGAGACTAGGATGCCAGCCCGTCTGGGCGAAGGGACTTCCGCCCAGGGAGATCCCGACTCTGATAAAAGGGTAATGCTGGCTTACAACAACCAGCCCCCTGCTCCTGGTCTTACAACCTGTCAAGAATGTGTTCAGAAATGAACACAATTCACAACCCTGTGAAAAAGAGAAGGCCAGGACGATCATTCCCATTCTGCAGATGAGGAAACTGAGGGAAGCAGGAGATGAACTCCACTGGGGAAAGCCAAGAGTGCTCGACGTGTAGGCGGAAGCCCGAGTTTGGGTTCATCCAAGACCTGCGCTCTCAGCATCTCCACATCACCAAGCCTGACTTTGCTCGTCTGGGAGAAGACGGCAAAACCAGGACGCCTAGACGCAGCCTGCCTCTTGAGGACCCCGTCCTGCCCCTCCCTCGGCCACCCCGCAGCTACCAGGAGCCCAACCCGGTGGCTGCTCCCCCCACAGAGAATTGCCCTCCACGCCCCGGACCACTGGGCTCCTCCACACTGCCCCGAAATACTGAGAACGGGAGCCCATTCCAACACCCTGGGACTCACCTGTTTGGTCAACTTCTGAATCATCCGCGGGAGGAAGTGGTCCTCGGCTTGCCTGGGAAGGAGAGGGCAGAGCCTTAGGAGAGGGGGGCTGAGAAAAAAGGAGGCTGACCTTGCAAGGGTGACCACGCGGTTTTTAACTCAGGATCTGCCTTGAACACGCACATGAACCACCAGTGGCGGGGTCGCTTGAGTCGCTGGAATTGGGAGGGGGGAGAGGGGGTCACCCTGTGGGTCGGCTGTGACAGCCACCTTAGGAGGGGAGAATCAGTTTGTGAGCGTGCTGACAAAGTAGGGGAGAAAAGGTAGAAAAGGTCACAGAACGTGGGGAATCTCTTTTAAAAAAAACTAACATTAATCAAGTCAGCGCTGGAGGGGCTATGAAAAGACAGGCACACTGATACATTGTTGGTGGAGCGGTCTTTGACCCAGAAATGCCACTCTTGGGTCTAAAGTTCAAGAAGGTCAGAGACAGAAACAAAGGTCAAATACACATGGCGTCAGTTGCGGCAGCCCTCTTTGTGGGACAAAGAGCTAGAAACAAAGCTGGTGCCTGTGGACTGGAGAGAACTATGAATGTAACGGTCTGTTACCGCGTAGAAGAAATGAAGGGAGGAGGAATGATCTGATTGTGTGCAGACCCAGAACACGCCTAATGAGTCAGTCGCGGAGGCGAAGTTGAGCTCCGAGCCATGTAGGCGCCAGAGAGAAATCACACCGTAGCACAGAGGGCGGGCGCCTGGCAGGGAGGTCACGGAATGCCCAGTTCTTGCTTACTGTTTTTCTCTGTCGTAAGGGAGAGAACAACTGGGGGCGGGGAGGATGACGATGTTCCTGTGACAAAAGGCAGTGACAAATTGTCATTTTAAAAATAAACGGGCGCAGCTAGGTGGCGCAGTGGATAGAGCACCGGCCCTGAAGTCAGGAGGACCTGAGTTCAAATCCAGCCTCAGACCAAGTACTTGACACTTACTAGCTGTGTGACCCTGGGCAAGTCACTTAATCCCAATTACCTAAAAATTAAAAAAAAAAATAAAATAAAATAAACAGGGGCAGCTAGGTGGCACAATGGATAGAGCACCAGCCCTGGATTCAGGAGGACCTGAGTTCAAATTCGGCCTCAGACACATAACACTGACTAGCTGTGTGACCCTGGGCAACTCACTTAACCCCACTGCCTAGCCCCCTGCCAAAAAAATGAAAAACAAAATTATTGTGTTGGGGCAGCTAGGTGGCAGAGTGCAGAGCACCAGTGCTGGAGTCAGGAGGACCTGAGTTCAAATTCGACCTCAGACATATAACACTCACTAGCTGTGTGACTCTGGGCAAGTCACTTAACCTCAATTGCCCTCAACAAAAAAAAATAAAATAAAATAAACAAACAGAAAATGGTTTTTAAATGCACAGCTTTCCACCCTGCCATCAAGGGGCTTACAATTGGCTGGGGGGGGGGGTTTGGATTGAGGGCAGAAAGAGGGAACAGTGGGTATCCCAGGTCCTGAGTGGGAATCCTGACTGCCACTTATTACTGGAGGAGCCTGGACGAGTCACTTGACTTTGCCCATAAAGCGGGCTCAGACAAGATGACTGTCTCTCACAGCTCTACCTCTCTCCTCCTCTGGGAGTTCTGAGAAACGAGAGCTTCCCTGCAGCTGAGACAATCAGGGCGGGCTCCCTGGAAGAGGTAAGGCTTGCAGCCAAGCATTGCACGGGCCGCCGGGGGCCCAAAGACAGAAATGAACGTGCCCCTGCTCTCCTGAGGCTCGCACTGAGGACGAGACAATCACAGCGTTCAAAGATGGAAGCCCGTCCAAGCCCTCAGGTTAGGGATGAGGAAGCTGAGGTGGATGGGGTCAAGTTCTGGGGGGGGGGGGGGGGTCTCTGTCCTCCCAGGCCAGCGGAGGGGGGCCGTCCGGCCTCCACGGCACGGGCAGAGATGCCGGGACGGTGGGAGGACTCAGGGCCGATGGAAGGGCTGGCTCCCGCGGAGCCCTGAGCGCCAAGCCTAAGGCTCCCCTGGGCACCGGGTCACGATGAACACCCGGGGGGCAGAAAGCACAGCACAGGGCCCGGACTTACCGGCTCCTTGGCCACGGAGCAAACCAGCGCATCTCTTGGTAGTTCCCTTCATTGGCCAAGACCATTTTGGGGCGAATCAGAAGGATTTTCCTACAAAGGAGAGATGAAGAACGATCTGTGGTCCGCCCTGAAAGGCCCGAGAGAGGTCAAGGCTACTTGGGCCCAGTCTCCAAAACGAGTCCCTAAAGAAAAGGGAGGCCGAGGGGGGGATCTGAGTGACCTCGGGCCAAGTCCCTTTCCCTCACCGCGCCCCCAGCCCCTCACCCTCACCCCAGCAGAGCCTCGGACCGTGGGTCAGTCCAGGGGCCTCTGTCGCCCCCTCCTGGTTGTAATGCAGAGAGCCTCCAACACGCAGGATGACAAAACCCCCGGCTGGCCGGTTACTTGACTGAGGCCCCGCCAAAGATCCCCGATGTTCTCACGATGGCACACAGAAAGGCAGGCTACCCCCAAGTGACCAGAGACTCCACACCGCGGCCAAGAACCAGATCCGGGCCTTTCCCTCTCCCTCTACAGAGCTGAAGACCCCCCCCCCAGGCAGGTGGGGCTCAGACCCACCAAATGACCCCAGCCAGAGCGGGCAGTCCCCAAGCACACCCACCCCCCAGGGCTGAAGACCTCAGTCTAGGAAACGGCAAACAGCAGCAGGCCCAGTGCTTGGATCTGTCTGCAGGACAACCCACTGCCTCCCAGGCCTAAAGCCACGGCACAGGAAGATTCAAGGAAAATGGGCCCCCCCCCCCCCCCGGCGCAGCGGGCCCTGGAGAGGGAGCCTACCCATTGAGAAAGATCACCCTGCAGTTGTAGCGAACGTTGCGGTGCATCACAGGCCTGGAGAAACGAAGAAGAGACAGACTGGTCAGGACCAGAGCCTCCCAAGGTACGCTGGGACCCGACCGGCTTTTTCCTCCTAAATCAGTTTCAAAGAGAGCGTTGGATTCTGTACCACTCAGTGTCGACAGCCTCCCCCTTAGGCGCAGGGCACTACAGATGCTGCTTTCTGTTTACCCTGCCCAGCGATGCCCTCCGCCTACCGCTCTATTAATCAGCGAAATCAAGATTCCACCTGGATATCTGTTATTGTTGCTCAGTGTGTCAGACTCGGTGTGACCCCATTTGGCAAAGATACTGGAGTAGTTTGCCATTTCCTTCTCCAGCCCATTCTACAGATGAGGACACTGAGGCAAATAGCATTTAGTGACTTGCCCAGGGTCACACAGCTAGGAAGTGTCTGAGGCCAGATTCGAACTCGTGAAGGTGAGCCTTCCGGACTCCAGGCCCAGCGCTCTCAGCACTGTACCACCTAGCTGCCCTCCATCGAGGCGTACTCCAATTCTAAAAGGGCCCACTCAAGACATTACCAGCCACGACAACCCCAAGGTTCCCCTGGGCCTTGTATCCGAAAGCCCTGCAGTCAGGAAGCGGCGCCTCCGTCCTCCTGCTACGATTTTAACCTCGAGGATTTCTTCCTGAGCTTGGCAGAAACAGAACCATTCACTCTAGGGTGACAGACTCTCACTGGTCACAACAGGTGTCACCACAGGGGTCACCACAAAGCGGCTTCTTTATCGTGTCCTCTGAAACCCGCGGGAACAGCAAACACAACTACCCCTCGACTCCTTCTGTAACACCAATAATGTTCAGGTACGTCGGTCTCCTTTTCAGTCATCACACAGAAACGGCACAAAATAAGGTGAACTACACCCCGCCCCCAATGAAGAGCGTGGTGGACAAGACTGGAGGCTGCACCATTTCCTTCTGTCACAGACCTCCAGGGCAGCCAGTCTGATGAAGCCTGGGGACCCATTCTCAGAACTTTTTTTGTTGTTTTCTGGCAAGGCAATGGGGTGAAGTGACTTGCCCAGGGTCACACAGCTAGTAAGTATCAAGTGTCTGAGGTCAAATTCGAACTCGGGGTCTTCCTGAATCCAAGGCCAATGCTCTGCCCACTTGGCCCTCTAGCTGCCCCCCAGAATAAGGTTTTTAAATAGATTACGAAGGAAGCCAGCGCATCTCTCAGGGTGCTGCAGATAATCCTCCTCTATTAGGCTAAGCCCTCGTGGAGGCGGCAGAGAATAACCAGGTGGCCCTGTGGCCCCCACGAGAAGCCACGGCACCTTCCACGTCTTGACAGGGGAGACCACGCTGACATGTAGCGCTCCCAAGTCCACGAGCTCCTCGCCTAGCCCGGCGCCCAGCAGTGTGGGGCAGTCCGCTCCACCAGCCCCACCCCGGGGGGGTTTCTGAATTTGCCCCTCCCCCAGCCCCGGCGCAGCGGCGCTAACACTTACATTCCAACATCACAGATGATGTTTTGGGTGACAGGTGCCACCAAAAGCTGGGCCAAAACTTGGTACGAATGCAAAATGGTATCGGATTCAAAGTAGTGATCCCAACAGCCGTAGCCACTGCAGGGAGGAAAGATACGTCAGAGCAGCCTGGGACGGGGCCCTGGGAGCTGGGCGTTCCAGGGAATGACTTCTGAACGCCCTCTCTGCCGGCCGACCCACAGGTTCCAGGCAGAAGAGATGCGCCGGACCCCCAGCCGGAGGGTCTTAAGGTCCCAGGGGAGACAGCTGTGTGTCCGTCCCTCAACGGATTAGCCACAAACACGTACTGGACCGAGATGAAAGAAATGAGGTCTGCCTTCCAGACCCCGAGACCCCAGAAAGTGCAGTGTGTGTGACAACTCCCTCGGCCAAGAGGGAGTCCCAACAAACTGGGGGGAGGGGTGATGGTTAGAGGGAAGAGTTTATTTTTTATTTTATTTAAAGAAAATTCTGTCAGTTCCAAATTCTCTTCCTCTCTCCAACCCCTCCCCCAGACACTGAGAAGGCAGCTGGCCTTGGAGTCTACATGGCACTTAGGGTCATCTCTTCAAGACTCTCCCCTATTAGAAGGGGTCTCACTGTTCTAGCTGGACCCCAGGCCCAACCCCGGGCTTTGCACAGAAGTCTCTAATAAATGTTTAATTCATCATTCAGATAGCCCTTTAAGGTTTGCAAAGAGCTTTAAAAGTACCAGCTCATTAGATTCTCACAACAACCCCTGGGAGGTAGGTGCTCTATTGTTATCCTCACTTTACAGATGAGGAAACTGAGGCAGGCAGAAGTTAAGTGACTTGCCCAGGGTCACAAAGCTAGTAAGTGCCTGAGGCAGGACTGGAACTCAGGTCTCCCTAACCATGGGTTGAGTGCTCTATTGACCACACCACCTCACTCCCTTCCAAAAGGGATCCAAGAAAGTCAGGAAGGCGCTGAATCCGTCTCAAAATTGGACAGGATGGCCGAGACCCCCATTCATGTCTAATGCCCCTGCTTCAGGACCCCCGGAGCCAGGAAAGTCTTAAACAGGAGCAGCAACTCATCTTCCTGTGAGACGTCTCTGGAAATGACCTGCTTCTGTGCTGAAATGACAAGCCGGGCTGGTTCAGTCTGGGACGTCAGGTCAATTCCGCCTCAGCCCGCCGCATCCTTCCTGCTACGGCCGAATGGCGCCCAATCTATGTTCTAGACAAACTGGCCGCTCGTGTTCCCTGCACAAGGCTCGTCTCCCCTCTCCGCGTCTCTGCACACGGCTGTCCCCCATGCCAGGAATGCCCTCCTTCCTCACCTTTGCCTCACAGAATTCTTATTCTTCTTTCAACGCTCAGCTCAATTTAAGGTGGCTCTTCCCCGAGAGGCCTTCCCTGACCATCCCCCTGCCCATTTGTATTTATTTCTCTATGTATCTCCCCAGCAGAACGTGAGCCCCTTAAGTTTGTGTCTTGTATCTCCAACCCTGGGGAGAGCACCGAGCATACAGCAGGTGCTCTGTAACAGTCTGGGGAGGCAAATGGCCTGGTGTCAAGGTTACAGAGCTTGTATTTTCTGTTGATCAACCCAGGAGCGCTCACCATATTTCAAGCTCAGGTCCAAGCCGGTACCTCGCGCCTTTGTTTCTGGCAATTTCGATGCCTGTTATAAATGTGCAAAAAGAGGAAAAAATGAGAGAAGCGTCTCCCCGTGCAAAGGAAAGCCTCGTGCCTCACTGCAGCATGGCACTCCTGGGCAACGCCGAAGGGCCTGGCTTCTCATCAGGATCATGGTTTGAATTAATTCCATACAATAAAGACCCCGGGTCAGACCCAGGCCAAGACAAGCCGGTCAGAGAGGACGGGAAGGGAAGATTTTATATATGTATGTATGTGTGTATATATGTGTGTGTGTGCAAACATGTATATGTGGGTATGCGTATACAAATTCTATGTCAATATCTAATACATGTAAATTTCAATGATGTATATGTGTTATATAATTATCACATCTTAGATGTTATATTAAGAGACAGTGCACTGAGTAGAAACCAGGTCTCCAACCAGCTGTGACATCTGACAAATAACCACGGTGAGACCCCAAGCTGGTCACTTGACGTCTCTCTCAGGGCCCCAGGGTTAGCTGGTGACCAAGGAGAGAGCCCTGGGCCTGGAGTGAGGAAGACCTCCGTTCAAATCCAGCCCCAGACACTTGCTAGCTTTGTGACCCTGGGCCAAGGCACTTCACCTCAGCTTGCTTCAGTTTCCTCAACTATAACATGAGGACAACAGTAGCACCTCCCTGTAGGGTCGTTAAGAGCGCTTAGCCCAATGCCCAGCACACACACACGTCAGTTACAATTAGCATTATTATTAATAAAAGTGCTTCACACAGTGCCTGGCACGTAGTAGGTGCTACGTAAATGTTAACAATTATTTATTATTGTTATTATTTAAAACTGCTTCACACGGTGCCTGGCACATAGTAGGGGCTATGAAAATGTTAGCTATTTAGTATCATCATTTTCATCAAAAAGTGCTTAGCATAGTGCCCAGCACATATAAATGATAGCTGTTTATTATCATTATTAAAAAATGCTTTGTGTTGTGCCTGGCACATTGTAGGTGGTATATGAATGTTAGATGTTTATTATTATTATTAAGAAGTGCTTCACAGTGCCTGACATAGTAGATGCTATGTAAACATGTTATAAATATAATATATATTATTTAATATAGCCGATTATTATCAAGTACACAATGTTTGAAACATAGTTGGTGCTATATAAAAATGTGAGCTATTACTTTTTATTATTAATGAAAAGTGCTTTGCATAGTTCCTGGCACAAAGTAGGTGCTATATAAATATTAACTATTGTTTATTATTGTTTTTATTATTTAAAAGCACTGGCACATAGCAGGCACTGGATAAATATTAGATATTTGTTATTATTATTAATAAAAAGTGATCCACATAGTTCCTAGCACATAGTAGGTGCTATATAAATGTAGCTACAATTTATTATTGTTATTGCACTAAAGTGCTTTGCACAGTTCCTGGCACATAGTAGGTACTATATAAATGTTAGGTGTTTATTGTTATTACTAATTAAAAAGTAATTCACACAGTAGGTCCTATATAAATGTTAGATGCTTGTTATTATTAATAAAGTGTTTCCCATAGTGCCTGGCACATAGTAAGCCTATATAAATGTTAGATACTTATCATAATTATTATTATTTAAAAGTGCTTCACATGGTGCCTAACACACAGTAAGTGCTACATAAATGTTAGCTATAATTATTATTAGTTCCTTTCCTTCCCCCCAGGCAGCCTCTCTGTATGCCAGTCCATATGAGCAGGAGTTCCCTATTCCAATGAAATCAGATGCCAGCCCCACTTCCACAAAACATAATACTAAAGCTATTGGGGCATTGGTACCAGGCCAGCAATAACAGCTCCCAAGCTGACAGAGCTTCATTAATATAGCAACAAGAAGACGCCACAAACATATAGAGCCTGGAGGTTTGCACTTCTGGTGCTACTGTCTTCATCCCATCTTCAGATAAGGAAACTGAGGCTCAGAGAGGCGATGAGTGACCGAGATAGCATCAAACTCTGGGCACTACTTCTCAGTAAGGGATAGAGCACTCGAGTGGGAGCCAGGAACTCCCCTGGTGACACTTGGTACTCCAGGCCACAGCCTTAACCACTCTGGGCGTCGGGCACCTCTAAGGTGATGTATGGTCCACGGGAATTTCTACACCAGTGGAAACGAGCCCGGGCCTAGGGCCACGGTGTTGTATAGCGCTTTCATTGACATCCTCATCTCAGTCTTCACTACCCCCAGGAGGCAGCCAAGGAGAAGAGCCAGTTTCCAACATGAGCCTCGGAGGAGCTGGCTGACTGAGCCAAGGTCACATAGTGGGTGCTATATAAGTGTGAGCTGTTCTTTTATTATTGCTATGTAAATGTTAGCTGCTTTTTATTATGTGCAGAAGGTTGGGGCTGGAGCCCAGATGTGCAGGCAGCCAGATGCCCAGGCAGCCAGGGACACAGGGCGCTGGAGGGGCAGGAAGAGAAGGGCACATTCCTGCCCTGGTAGCCTCCTGACTCCAGACCCAGGGGAGTAGCCCATTATGGAAGGGAAGACGTATTATGGAGTTCCACCTCACCTTACAAATGAGGAAAACCAAGGCCTGCCCAATGTTTACTGAGACTGACAACACACAGTGATAAACCATATCAAATGTTTGTGTAACCCTTATCTTAAGTGCTCCGAGTTTGCAGGTCACACCTTCTTAGATGGGTCGCTGGCTGGCACAAAGATCCACTGTCCAAGGTCTCGGGGCTGATTTCCCCGGGGGAAGTCTGGAGGTGAGGCCTCTGCCTGCTGGAGACTTTGCCAGGGATCCAATGGGGAGCTGCTGGGAAAGCTTCAGGCTTCCCAGAACCAGCCCCGACTCGAAGGCAGGCAGGCAGGCTGCCCACGGGCTGGTTACTACAGCCTTGGCGGGGACCAAAGCTTTGTAAACTTGAAAGGGATAGTTGGTTTTTGTTACTAAGGCACCGTGGCCTGGAATCTACCCCGTGGGGAACACTGGGGCCTTTTACCCCCGGGGTGTCTAGTGCTGGTCAAGCATTTATCACGGACCTACTGTGTGCCGGGCACTGAGGATACACGTACAAAGAACGAACACTATCCCAAACTCTGAGCCTCAGTTTCCTTATCTGAAGATGGGATGAAGACAGTAGCACCAGAAGTGCAAACCTCCAATCTGGCGAGGCTGGGAGGTGTCCGAAGAGGGGAGACACTAGGGGTTGCTTGGCACGTGGTCGTGGGATTGCAAGCGTTTTCCTGCCGCCCTGTCCTGGGGCGCTGTGGGATTGCACGCGTGTTCC